TCATAATTATAAGGAACAACAGACACCTAAATTCTTTATATATCAGATGCTGGCACAGTTTTGCCGGAAGTTTGCAAGAAGTAACTTTTGGCAATGCAGTATGTTAGAGTAACCTAGTAGGTGTAAGAAAATATAAGGTGATGGCCTTTAAAGTGGTAAAAACAATTTTCACGGCCGAATTGGACTTCAATTCCTGCGATTTCAGGGGGTACTATAAGACTATTTCATAACATAAAGGATATAGTTGCTATTGTTCTGCTTTCTACAGCACACATTACTAGTCCAAAGATGAATAATATCCTAAACTTATAGGCCGATATCTGTATTAGTCTCAGAAATATTGCAATTAATAGGAAAAAAATATGCAATTTTAGTCATTTTTAAGTCTCACGTATCTTATATTTGTAGCTTCCAGCAAAAGATGGCAGCTTAAATAGCTCAAAATTGTTTTCTAAAAACTAATTCAAGCTTTGTTTGATATTGTAATACAATTATAATAATGATAATGTACTGTTTATGATTTTTAATATGACTTTATAGTACCCTACCCCTGGAAAGTGGGCGTGGTCAATGTTATCATTTTGCAGCATACAATTAAAAACTTGTATTGATAGAAAGCAAATCAATGCATATAAAACATCTTCACTTGTTACTTGACAATGTAATTCATTTATTATTAAAATATAGAACTCTACATATTTTATATATACGATTTCAATTATGTACAATGTATCATAATGAAATCTAATAGGCTGTTTCAATTTACCAACTTTTTCTCTGATCACCCTTACCTTTTGACAAAATGACCTACTATATGACCAATAGCAACAAAAATAGCAGAACTGATCAACGTTTAAACCCCCCCCCCCCCCTACCCCTATGTTTGTTTTGTATGGGGTCCGCCACAATGCAACAAGTCCATTTTCAGTGCTTACTATCACATGGAATATAAGTCACAATGTTTCCACAATATCTGGGCAATGAGATAGTGCCATTAAGAATATGTATGCCCAGATTCAAGATCATGGTGTAAATGCTTGCCGATCTATCGGCTTTCAAAAATGAGGAAAGCTGTCTTGAGTTCCGTTTCAACTAATTTTGAATAAAAACTGCTACTTATGAATTTTTTTCACAACAACTGTGATTTGGTTAGAGTCCAAACACAGGATATCAAGACATAGTGCTACCAAATTCTGGTATTGAAAATTTCAGAGCTCTAGATCAAGTATTCATATCTGCATGGACTCTTAAAAAGACCCAAAAGACACAAAATGCAGTCAGATATCGCGAAAAAAATGTGATAAAATGCACTATTCAGAACAATTTATCTCTTAAATTTTACTTTTATTTACCATAATTTCTGATTCTGCCTCTAGTTAGTAATACCAATAATACATATGAGTAGACTTAAGGTCATAGTAAGTGTAGTTACAGATTTATTAGCATCTAAAAATGGGAGAAGCAGTGTAGCAAGTGCAATTTTCCCCTATAATTCATAGTATTAAACTGCAGCTTTCAGGATTTTCTTCTCTAAAACAAGAATTCCGTGAGACCCCAAACGACAGGATTCCATATCACTGTACCACCAAATATATATGAGAGTAGTTTCAGGAGGTTATATCAAATAATCATTGAACCATTGACACCTAGAAATATGCAAAATACAGTCAGAAATGGTGAAATTGTGATTGTGAAAAAATGTATGTATTCTTAACAATTTTTTAACTAAACTGTATTTTATTTAGAACTGAAACATGAAGTGCTTACTAGGAGTTACATCTAGTTATTATTTATTAAGTGACTTCAGCATCCGAATTGATATAATATAGGAATATCCTATGGTTTTGAAAAAATATCATTTATATCCATGAGTGGATATTGATATTTTCATGAGTGAGCGCAGTGAGTGAGTGAAGATATCTGTATCCATGAGTGGATATAATATATATAAAATATTTTTGAAAATAATTAAAAAATGTAAAAAGAAATTTTTTTTTGAAAAAATTCGAAACCATCGAATATCACTTTTTAAGACGCGATATTCGATAGTTTAAAAGTGATATTCAATGGTTTGTGAATTTTTTGCTAAAATATTATAACTTGATCCACATATCAAATATATCTTCATGTGATATTCGATCTATATCCTTGCAACCATGGGATAATCACTGATATGCTTAAGACCAAAAAACCTATAAAGAATGTTATTATTGAATACTGAGAATACATTGTTTTTACATTACGGAGCTTTATTTCTACCTGAAAGTATTTTGGAACATATCTCTTGCTTAAATATTTCATGCAATGTTACTTTCAAAAACGTTATTAGAACAATAAGTCCATCCTATACTTTCACATGTTATTCTCCATTTCATTTTTAAAAATTGTGGGAGCTTTAAACTCTAGAAGAGCTTAATTACCAATTATACCATGCACCCTCCGTCGCATTTTTCTTAGGATGGCCAGGCATATTTCAAATTGAAGAGTAAAGTCAGTTAAAGTGATATATAGCTGTATATAACAACGTATCTTTCACTTGATACTGTGATGTCAAGCTTAAGCATTCAAACAGTGTATTTTGTCCCAAGATACAATAAAGTACTGATTTCATTTATTTATCAATTCAGATGCCTTGGAATTAAAGTAAACACTTGGTATATATTACCAATATTATTTTTACTTATTATTGGTGGTACAATGACCAGGTTTCCTTTAATGTCTTTGGTCTTACTGTGCAGTTTTTAAAAAGAAAATTCAGAAAGTTGCAGTCTTAGATGAAAAACTGGTGAAAATCATACTTGCTACAGCTTTTCCCATTTTCAGAAGCCAATAGATCTGTACTTCCACTTACTATGACGTTAAGTCTTCTCATATGTATTATTGGTGGTACTAACTGGAGGCAGAATCAGAAATTATGTCAAATAAAAGTAGCATTTAAGAGATAAATTGTTCTGAATAGTGCATCTTTCATATTTTTCACGATATCTGACAGGTTTTTTGTCCTTTTGGGTCTTTGTAAAAGTACATGCAGAAGTGAATATTTGATCTAGAGCTCTGAAACTTCCAATATCAGAACTTGGTAGCATTATGTCTTGGTATCTTATGTTTGGGGTCTAAAAAAGTCACAGATGTTGAGAAAAATATTCATTAAGCAGCAGTTTCAGTTCAAAGTTAGTTAAAACTGCACTCACGACAGCTTTCTCTATTTTTGAACGCAGATAGATTGGTAAGTATTAGTATTAGGACCTTGAAACTGCTCATATATGTAGTCTTTGTGGTACTGTCTCATTGCAAAGGTAATTTGGAAACACTGTGACTTACATTTCATGCGTTAGTGAACACTGAAAATGAAACAGCCTATTAGATTTCATCATGATACATTGTACAAAATTGAAAACATATATATAAAATATGTAGAGTCCTATATTTTAGTAATAAATGAATTACAATGTCAAGTAACAAATGAAAATGTTAAAAATGCATTGATTTGCTTTCTATCTATACAAGTTTTTAATTGTATGCTGCAAAATGATAACATTGACCACGCCCACTTTCCAGGGGTAGGGTACTATAAAGCAGAGATCACGGTAGACGTTCGCCATTCGCCAATTGCGAATTTTCGAAAGAGGTGGCGAAAAATATGTAAAGGTATTTCGCAGTTATGGCGAATTAGAGGTGTCACGGTTTCCCGATATTGGACCGAATTTCGGTCCAGATGCTTCGGTTCGGGACATGGGACAAAAAGGGTTAATATCGGTAAATAGATTCCTTCACTAAAATGCATAAAAACGTGTATAAATAGCGAGGAACACCTCCGATTTCGTTCTGAAATATTTTCACTTACCTCGTACCTAGATTACACTTCTTTGCATTGAAAAGTGTTATTAACGGACCCGCGATTTCAGGTAGATGGTAATGCTTGTTCGTAAATTTCTTCATCGTCGTTCGCAAATCTAGTGCATTATCAGTATGCCGGATGTAGGAAAGAAATTGAAAAATCGAGCCGGCATCTAAGTCGAAAAAGTCGGCAGTTTGGAAGTATTTTCGGACTCCGATATCACAAGGTAAACGAATTGGTAATATTACACCGTGCAGACTATGTGAAATGCCGATCACATTCGCGGCAGATGCTTTACATTCAATTTTAATGGACGTTTTTTTATTCCTGAATATGATTTTGAAAAGTGAAACTGAAAGTGAAACTGTCATCATCAGACATTTCATCATTTTTAATGTTCTGTCCCGTCCCGTCCCGAAAGTAACGTGTTGAGACCATTTGTACCGTTCCGTACCGTACCGAAATTTTCTTGGACCGTGACACCTCTATTGCGAATTCCCTTTTATACGGTTTTTCAAAATGGCTAATTCATATTTTGGTTGGCTAAAAATATTTTGGAAGATTTAGCCACAATGGCTAACAAGTTTTTTCAACTATCGTGATCTCTGTATAAAGTCATATTAAAAATCATAAATAGTACATTATCATTATTATAATTGTATTACAATATCAAGCAAAGCTTGAATTAGTTTTTAGAAAACAATTTTGAGCTATTTAAGCTGCCATCTTTTGCTGGAAGCTACAAATATAAGATACGTGAGACTTAAAAATGACTAAAATTGCATATTTTTTTCCTATTAATTGCAATATTTCTGAGACTAATACAGATATCGGCCTATAACTTTAGGATATTATTCATCTTTGGACTAGTAATGTGTGCTGTAGAAAGCAGAACAATAGCAACTATATCCTTTATGTTATGAAATAGTCGTATAGTACCCCCTGAAATCGCAGGAATTGAAGTCCAATTCGGCCGTGAAAATTGTTTTTACCACTTTAAAGGCCATCACCTTATATTTTCTTACACCTACTAGGTTACTCTAACATACTGCATTGCCAAAAGTTACTTCTTGCAAACTTCCGGCAAAACTGTGCCAGCATCTGATATATTAATTTACAAATGGGTCTCAAACTATTGTTAATAATTGTAAAATACACATACCTTCTTAGAGGAGCCAGGTACTAGAGAATCACCACTAGAGTCAACATCAGCAACCCAAATCTCAGTGCTATCCCATGGCTGTAAACATAAAGAAAATTTTAATATCACACTTGAAACACATAATAATCTTATTTGCTAGTAATCATGTTACATGTGAAAAACTTCCCAGTTCTAATAACCTTTTTAGCATATAATGTCCCTGTTTTAATCCTATGGCAATTGAGGTTTCAGGTACAAAGCAGTGGGATAACGAATAACATTAGCAGAAGTGGAACATAATTAAATGTATATATTTCCTACTGGGCTTATAGGTGTTTATCATCAGTATTGGCATAATTTTCCAAGAGAGTTATGGGTTTAAAATTTTCTGAATATATTGGACAATGTAGTCAAGATATAATATTGTTCCCTTACCATATTTGGATGGTTCCATTGAACCCATGCTATCTTACTGCCATCTGGTGACACTCTAGGAGTGGAGTAAAAGTCACAGCCACTTGCCTGGAAGGAACATTACATGATGACTGAGAATAAATAAATGTACCTGTATAGCTACACTAATTTGCACATGGTTAAGAGACAACACTGAATTTAGCAAAACGAATCCAAAGACAAATTCTTCATGAGATAATTATCTGCACAATCTTTATCAAAATCTTTGAGTCAATTTTGAATGAAAAATGGGACAGGCATTGAAGGATTTTTCACTTGCACTGTATCTATCCTAATATTGCAACTTATTATCCAAAGTATCCAATACAATTTCAATGTACATGTATATTCTACATGAAAGTATTTCCAATGGGAGTAAGTCATTTCCACTCTGATATTCTCTATATTAAATAAAATACAGGAGCATATTATAGGGAGAGGTGACTTACTCCCCATGCATATTTCTCACCAAAATGTTCTGCTGTTGATTGGTTGGATTTATGACCACTATTGTATTCTGGGCTTCTTTAGCCTCCTTTCTTTCAACCACACCATGGTCTTCTCGAACACAAAAGATGCGTCCTAGCTATAAAGTAAAATTAATTGCCAACATAAGTAATTTTGCAAACAGAGGATGGGAGTTAATACACTGTTTTTCATTATCATTTCAGTGGAATTCAGTTTTGTGTAATTTTACAATATATTGGTGCCTATGGTGCTTATTTAATATGGCAGATTTTCAAGGTAAATTATACCGTTGACCATGCACATATATGAGTCTAAACTTACAAGGTTGTCTTCCTTAAAGAGAGATTTAACTTGTTGAATAATATGCTCGTAAAAATGGCACCATTCTCAGGCTTGTAGCCAGGGGCCGGGGGGGAGTTTGAGCTGGACAAAATTTTTCAAAATCATGCAGATTTTTATACCATTCTGAGCACTTTTCAAGTGATTTTGATTATCAAATGTGACCCCCCTGGTATCTTTTGAAAAGCAACACTGCCCCCCCATTTGCAAAAGCTGGCTACAAGCCCACATAGTGAAAAGGAAACATTCATCATTTGCACAATATGTGTTTGATTTTGGTTCTGGAAAAATGATGAGGAAAGGTCCATGTGCAGTATGGAAAGTGATTTTAGACAGCCATATCTTTCACCATGAGTACTTTCTGGATATAAATACAGTGGTTTTTATTAAAACAATATGTTTTCTTTAAAGTGAAGTCCCCATGATAGTAAAATATCAATCCAACTCTCTGAAAAATTATGGATTAGGACCCCACCTTGTCACTTTTTTAAAAATGCAAGGCTTATTTTCTTAAAAGAGGATCGTGTTTTTCTCAATTTATATATATCAAAAGTTTCTTCTACACTATATTTATTTAATAAATTCTGAAAAGGGGATGGGTATTGAAATGCGAAAGTTAAAAACCACATTTCCCATGTTATTTTCCCATAAGGAGAACTCATGCTATCCATTGTTTTCAGCATGCTTTTGGTCATCGAAAATTGATATCTTCAAAACTAGACTTTCAATACCATTCTTCTTTTGAGGATGTTTTAGACCCTTTATTGAAAAATCTTTCCATGCAATAAAAATTAGAAAAAGAAGATACTCTTTTGAGCAAACAAGTTCAACATTTTGAAAAAATTGTTGACGTGGGGTCCCTATTTATAATTTTTCGAATTGTTCGATTGATATTTTTATCATCATGGGGACTTCACTTGAAAGAAAACATATTGTTTTAATGAAAACCACTGTATTTATGCCAAAGAAGTTCTCATGGTGAAAGATATGACTGTCTAAAATCACTTGCCATACTGCACGTGGACCTTTGTAAAATGGCACCATTTGGGGGTGCTCACATGGTAAAAAGGAAACATTCTCTGTGATATTGTGACTTCACTGGTAAAATAAATCACTCTACTTACTTCTTGACAAACATTTTATTTTGCATGCATGAAGATATGTTTTGTGAAAACTTCAATGACTTACCATACATCATTTTTGGTTGATGATAATAAATTGCAAATATCATAATATTAGGTTGTTTGCTCAATAAAGAAAGTCCTTCCTTTTACGTCTCTGATGAAAAACCCCCATTAAAGCTGATGTATTTGTCTAAGAAGGTACTTATACTGATACTGTATATAAGAAGCATTCACAATTATAAACCCATGTTAAAGATTCTACAAAGCTCATACTTATTCCGGTTATATTTCCCCAGAGAATATTATTTCAAAAATAGAGATTTAAGGTGACTTGGTATCATCTCCAGTGGTGTAGCCAGCTTTCAGTCAGAGGGGTACAATCGCCAAAAGATTTTTGGTTTTTAGTCGAGGGGGGGGGGGGTGATTGTGGCATAAGCAACCCCAAAATTTTTTTAAGGTTTGTTTTGAATTTTTCAAAATTTGATCCAACTATTTTCAAAATTGAGCCTTCTGGTTGTATTTCTATTTCCATCGCACCCCCCTGGCTACGCCTATGATCTCCAGTTACAGTCCATAAGCCATATAGTAATAACTTCTACTTGAGCCTCTGTGACTTCACCTTTGGGTAAACCAATTTATAATAAAGATAGGTTTTATATTTAATTCACTAAACCAATAAAGTGAGGTGTTAATCAACAGCATCATTAAACGTGCCTGGAAAACATTATTACCTGTTCAATATTCCCTATATTATATCAATCTAAGGTGAAGCTATATATCTGAACAAATCATGAAATGAATGAAAGACCCATACTGAGCTCTTGTTGCATTTATTCAGAATAATAAAGACAGGTTAAGAACTTAAGATTGGTCTTAATTTTATCGAGTATAACATTGTAAAATAACCCTCGTTTCTTAATTACCTTTGTTGAAAATGTGCCATCAGCGAATCTCCATCCACAATCTGCAGGGGTGATGGCTTCAGGTTTACTTTCTGGACTCGCTTGAGCGTACATTCTCTGATCAGAAAAATTGCTAAAATACACAGTGCCATTATTGACGAAAAAAGCTCCCCCGCCATACTCATGAACTCTGTTCCTCGCATTGAATCCCTCTGGGGTCCATGACGTGTAATCAGCTTGATCCTCTTTCTTGGAGCAGATGACGTAGCGGCCACCTTCATCAAACCTCAGCTCTGACCAGTACACAATGTCTACAAATTAAATGCAAATATAAATTTGAGAAAAGGGTTTTCTCTGCTTTGTTTGGATACAGTTACTTGTTAAGCCACGAACTGCTGAATGAATGCAAAATATATCCCTGTGAAAACTTGAACCAGATAGCTGTAGACTGTTTGAAAATAATATGTAACAAGGCATTAACATGACAAAATCTCACCAATGTTGCTAACAATGCATTGCTTCGGCCCTTGCTGTGTTTGTAATTTGTTTTGTTTAAATGATAATAAAAAAACTTTAAACCTAAATGTTGCTCACAATGTTATTAGTTCAATCTTAAGTCAGATTTGAATTTCTGAGAACTCTGTAGATGATTTTGAAAAAATAATTGGTCAATTTGAAGCAAGTTTTTGACCCTGAGAAGGTCATTGAAGGTGAAATCTCAAATCTGAAGTCAGATTTGAACTTCCGATTACTTGTCAATGATTTTGAGTGACGGCCCGAAACCCACCGCCCACCACCCGCAAACCACCACCTGCCAAGCACCAACTGCCACCACAAAAGACGGAGACCATAACAAAATAAATGGTTTTCAAAAAAAATTTGGTCAATTTGGAGCAAGTTGAAAAAAGACCTTTTTTAACCTTTTTTGACATTGAAAAGGTCATTGAAGGTGAAATCTTAAATGTAAAATCAGATTTGAACTTTTGAAAACGTGTAGATGATTTGGAAAAAAATTTAAGTCAGTCTAAACAGTATTTGTTAAGTTATTGGAAGTTTTAAAAATTTGTTACAGATGCCAACTGCCGCCCGCCACCCACCGATTACCAACCGCCACCACAAAAAACGGAGACCATAACAATATGGCACCACTTCTTGGTGGTGACATAAAAACTGGATGTGAAAACATATCATAGCCTTGCCCAAGTCGGTCTCTTTTACTTATCTTGATTTCTTTTATGACCGCCTTGTACCAAAGAGAAAGCCACGTGCTTTACCGACAGTTTGTTGATGTCGGTAAAATTTGACCAATCAACGACGGCCCTGTAGCGTTAGCTCATTATTATGCACTGTCAAAAACAAGTACACTTTTCACCAGGACTTTTCACGAACAAATCTTGCACGAATTCATCATGAAAATACAAATATTTTATCAGATAAATATCAATCAGTTTAATGGATGCCGGAGCATCAATTGGATAACCGGAGGTGATAAAATTTCAACAATAAACGTTGAAATGATCGCTGAATTCAAATGATCGACATGTAGGCTGAGATTGAATCACTGATCGACTGCATGACCCGCTACATTTTCATCGTGAAATCAGTTTTAAATCAACATTGAATCGCATGATTTAATTTATATTAATGACTCATACATTCCAATGTACATTTAATTACATAATATTCATGAATGATATTGCAACTCTAAAGAAACACTCGATCAGATCATTGAATTTCAAGTCGTAGACAGTAAGTTTGCTTTGTTTATGCAGCTCAACCTTATAACGTTTTGATTGGTCAATCAGCCTGAAGTCACACGTCGTGTCGTCCACGCGATCTGTCAATCAATAAGGTTTCGTGATACCCCTGATAGTGTAGATATTATGGAAATCTCGAAACCGTTGAATACCTCAGCATAATATCAGCGGAGATGTATTGGATTGTACAAGGCGGTAATAATTCTAGATCAGATTAGTAAAAAAATACCTACTTGGGCAAGGCTAATTAACATATCAGAGAACATTGGAAAATGAACTAAGGATCGAACGAGAAAAGTCACACATTTGCTTGAAAACGAGATAGGAAAACATTTTTAGCAGAATTTTAGCAGGTTTAATTTTTTCAAAACATCACGCATTGCCAGAATCACGAATTGCGATCAATTAATCGTGACAATGCGTCGCTAGATGGACCACAACCACAGATCAATTAACAATTATCACTCACCAGCATATCCCTCTGAGCCTTTGTCAACATGCACTTCCTGAAACTTAACACTGCTCTCTGACACCAGCTTGCTGGATATGGGTGATTTCCATTCCCCATATTCTGATACATTGGCCATATTTTTTGAAAAAAATGCTAAACTTTGAAATCTTATATCTTCGGAAATAAAGCTTTGATTAGTACAATACTTGCGCAAACGTCGCTTTAGATATTGATGAATACCACTGCAAAGTATTGGATACGTCCAATTATTAGTTATTGCATTAACATATAATCTGCGTGCACATATAGAAATACTGACTTTGCAGAATAAT